CATTTTTTTTGAAAAATGTTTCAGACAAAAGTTTTTCGACTTCAAGGGGGATATAATATGATATTATTGGTTAGACCTTAGGTGGTGTGGCAGCTTACTCGCCACACGAGGTTATCCGTTAAGATATGCCAATCTTATTATTATTACAATCGTACTATAGTTCTTATATCCAAAAAATGTATTGATGGGTGACTTTTGGTCGTGGCAAATGTAGCCGGTTTTTCCGTGTACAAGTACCTATATTGTGACCAAGCCAAAAATGAATTTTTTTCGAACTTATTGAGAATAGAAAAGAGATTTCTTTAAATTAACTTCAATTTAACTCTGTAAGAAGTATTTTTATGGAGTCCTTTATTAATTGACGGAAAGGAATTCTTTTTAAGTTTATTTCGAACACAAATTACACTAATTATACTAATTCATAAAGAAGTCAAGAAAATGAATTCTTTTCCAGTTTAAATGGATCAGTTGTGCTATCTGGAATTTCATGTTTAAGCTTGGCTTCTTGCTGTTGGAGCACTGATTTGCAATTTTTAAAAAAGCTTATTCGCTATGAAACCATTGCTATATCTTGCGTTGCTCTGAAAAAGTTTGTTAATCACTTATGGTATTTAACCTTTCAGTAGTCGTGTGGGGGTCACTGACTCATTCAGAAATTGTTATCTAACTTTGAGTTTGGATTCGGAATCGCAGCGACCTCAATAACCCTCCTATATTGCATTTCATCGAAATCGGAATACTTTTAGCATTCCCGTCTGCCATATTGGCTCTACCATTTTTTATTTTCCAATTTTGAATCCGAATTCGGAATTAGTGATACCGAAAACTCTCTAATACCATACTTATCCTCGATTGGAGCACATTTTGCATTTTGACCATTTTTTCCGTTTTTTTGCCCATTGTGAACGCGTGTTCTCTGCGAAGAAGACGCAATATACATTTAAATTGATACAAACCTTTTCTTCTCCCCTTTTAAGCTATCAAAGGCTTGTCTTAATATTTTTTCGTCTCTTTTAGTTTTTAAGAAAATTGATCGTATCGGTTAAAATGAATCACCCTGTATATGTATGATTATTAACAATGAGAAATTACAAATTAACAAAAAACGAATCAGTTTTTATAGACTCTTTAAATTAAAACAATTTAGAAAAAACATAAAACAGTACAGACAATAGTCAACGCTGGTTATCAATTAGCGCTATTCTTCTTAATATTAAAAATATAAACCTTGACTTTTTTTTTGAACGTTTACACTCATGGTTTGAGTTTTTATCAGCAATCTTTCCCCCTAGCGCAACGGTTGGAGTATTGCGTAACAAAATAATATTTTCAACGTTTTTCCTTTCAAAATTGTTTTATTGAACTGTTAATTGTTGTAAGTCACATACTCACAAAGTTAGAAAGCTGAGTGGCAATGAGAACTCAAGCTAAAATTATATAAATGATTAAATTATCGTATGTATAATTTGAAAATTAATAATCACCTCACCTCACACAGTCGACGCTTTTACACTGAACAATGAATCTCTCTTATGCAACATTTTGTAACTCGTTAATATGTTAAAAATTATCGTCAAATTTTAAAATAATAACTGCGAGAATAATATGTGTCATTTCGACAGTCGGTTAAATAATAATTGTTAAACAATTAACATAGCGGTGAATTTAAAGGTAAATAAACTAAACCTTATGACATGTATTATATTACGAACAAACCTTGAAGTTTATTGAGAATCTCAATAAATGGAAACGTTCAAAAAAAGTCAAGGTTTATATTTTTAATATTAAGAAGAATTGCGCTAATTGATAACCAGCGTTGACTCCTATTGCCTGTATTGTATGCTTTATGTTTTTTCTAAAATGATTATTAACAGTTTAGATGAAAAGTTTAGATGAAAAGGCGTAAAAAAGCGTAGGTGCATTACTTGTTAATGATTTACGAATGCAACGATAACTTGAAAATTTTGATATTAGGAACTGACTAAAGTTGCGGACATTCCAAAATTTGGAGAAGGGCCTTAAACGCCGAAAGGTTCTTATTAAATGATAATCGAATAATGATTAATTTTTCAGAATTCCGATCTTTTTTATTATACCTATGACCATTAGTAACAATAAAAACCATATTTTAAATTTGGATTTGCATCGGTGAAATTCATAATACACATATTTATGACATAATAAACTATCATATCCATTATGCAATTTGTTTTCGTTCAACTACTTGTTGTAAGAACATTTGAATTTTAAGAGCAATTATAATTTTTCTAGATCTGCTATGATATATTCATATAAGAAAAATTATGTTTCCATGTCAAAATTATGAAGTTGCTTCATGGCCACTTTTTCTGTCTTTTTGACTATGCGTTGTGGCGAGGCGCCGAACTAAATGTTTATATTTTTATTATTTATAATACTTTTTTTCGTATAAAAATTTGTACATATTCTACAATAATTATATTAAAATAACGTGCAAAAATTTTAAAATGATAAATATTCTTTATTACTAACTATGGGTATTTTCCAATTGCAATATCCCTAGACACTTTTGTGCACACGGTGACACAAGTTGCGTTCCAATTGTCCGCTATTGTCGACACTACACATCCGTACTCAGTCGAGGGCTGTATAAGCTTGTGTTTTCTAGTGACAATTACATGTTACTAACTGCGGCGGCTATAAATGAGGTTGGAAGACATTGAGTGGCTGGCACTTTTACTTTTTTCTGTTTAATACAGGCGGAAAAAACTACATTTAATCTAACTTCATCCGAAACGGATCTCAACCGTGCACAGCGTACACATTCTGTTCCAATTGAATCGTGCATAACGTTACATTTTTGTGCATTCCTGTGTACGTTTGTGTTAGGATGTGTTAAGCAATTGGAAAGAACCCTATAAATAGTTTTTCTTTTGAAGAAGATTGTGAAAAATCATCATTTTTTCTCCTAAAGCAGAAAACCCGCTCAAGCCAGGGGCGCAGTCCTTCGATATTCTATCGAGCTAAAATTTTACAGAAATTATTTTTTTGTGGATTGGAACTATTCTAGGGGGTGAAAGAAACGGAACCCTTGTAAAAGAGTACTACTGAGCACTAGGAGTATTTTGAGGCACTACCGTACTACAGCACTACTGTACTACTACATTACTGTAATAGTGCAGAAGTGTTGAGTAATACTGAGTAGTGCTAAGATCTTCTATATATCCATGATAAAAATACAAGGGTATGCTCATCAATTGTCTAAAACTCGTTCAGCTTGCGCATGTCCTTGCCTACGTCATATTCGGGTACGCGTTGATTGGTCGGTTCTGATTCGGGTGCAACCGGTGGTTATCGGTCGTAATTTATCATGGCGTCCATGGCGTAGTGCACGTTGTCATCGGTAGAAGTTAATGTTAAAAATATTTTCACGATGACCTGCATAGTGAAAGGATGCGGCAATTATATGAAAAAAACAAAAAAAACTGAGGGAAGTAAAATTAAATATTTTACCTTTCCAAAACAATCTGAAATTGCTGAACAGTGGCGTAAGCCACTCGTTGTGACGTAAGCAAGGACAAAAATCTGATTGGTCATGCGCATGAGCATACCCTTGTCTTTTTATCATGTATATATCCACGTTTTGGCAAGATACAAAATGCAGGAATCGAGTATGCATCACAGAAACTAATTATTAATAATTCTATTTTAAAAAAAGTACTTTCAGAGACTCTACGAGCACACTCTGATCAAGCTAAGAGTAAGTGATGGATTTCATTTACATATGCCTATTTATAGGGATCCGCGTCATTTTCTCCTTACGGAAAACAAGTCCATCTTGCGACGATACTGCGTATTATGCTGCTTGCAGAGCATATGTACGCTATAGACGCCGCCAAGTAAGCGGTGTAATACGCAGTGCCGCCGCAAGATGGACTCGTTTTCCGTAAGGAGAAAATGACGCGGATCCCTATAAATAGGCATATGTAAATGAAATCCATCACTTACTCTTAGCTTGATCAGAGTGTGCTCGTAGAGTCTCTGAAAGTGCTTTTTTTGAAATAAAGTTATTAATAGTTAGTTTCTGTGATGAATATTCATTTCCTGCATTTTGTATCTTGTCGAAACGCGGATATATAGAAGATCTTAGCACTACTACTCAGCATTACTGAACACTTCTGCACTACAGTAGTGCCTCAAAATACTCCTAATGCTCAGAAGTACTTTTTTACAAGGGAAAGAATTCGAAAAATTGAAAAAGGACCACTCTCAGGAAAATACGGTTAGAAAATTCTATGTGATATCATGAAACATGATATTATAAGTTTATAAAATTTTATCATATATGCAGAGATAAAACTAAGGATAAACTTTGCAGTTTAGTTACTAGGCTTTGAATTTGTTTATGAACATAATACTATTAGACAACATATAAAAGTAAGAGAAATTATAAAAAGTATTATTATGAAAGTTCAAATATTTATTATATGTGAAATTGAGTTTTATTAGTGTAGCATTGATACAAAATAATATTTATTCTATTTAAATTACCATCGAGTAATGGACGAATAGAAGACCAAGCTCTAAATTGCTATAGCAATAAAATATGTATGCACAAGAACACATCATTATTTCTTGTATCATGAGTTTCCATCTAAGAGAGCATATTTTTAAATTATTGTAGGAATAGACGTCTAAATATACACTACACCACTAACTTGTCTCAAATATATACATAAGAAATTTTATGATAAGGAATTTTTAAGTAACTGCCAAAAATTCGGGAGGGTCCCTGTAGCGCATAGTGCGATAGCATATATTTTCACTCGCATTGGCCGGTGCGTAGTAAATTTTTACTGCTTTATCAATGAGAATATTTTATTTTAAATTGGCCAATTTAGTGATATGGGCTATCAAAACCTTCCAAAAATTCTACTGAATCTATGCGCATGTGCGGTAGGAAGATACTAGTTCAATCGTCGACACAGAGGCTGTGACACCTTTTTTTTAATTGTTTTCAGAACATGGAAAACATTTTCAGAGTGCTATCCACTATCTATAGATGCGAGTAACGAGAGATTATGACAGCTATCGAAATGGTACGGAATTGAAATATACAAAGTGAAACTAAGGAATATATATTGTACGACGCGAAAAACACTTTAAGATGTCAATTGGATGCAGCAAAATCAGAGTAAATATAAAAATTAAGCTAAATGGTCAATTCTATTTAATAAATTTATTAACATTTTTAATGCGTTAGAAAAAAATAATGTATAATACTCTCTAAATTTCTTGGAGTGAAATCTACGTTGAAGTGAAACAAACTATATTTGTTTTATTTCAACTTGTTGCACTGGTGTGCACTAGTTCAAAAAGTTCATCGATAAAGAATAGACTAATGAAAAAGAATAGACTAATGAAAAGTCCCAAGAATATCCTAAGAATGTTCCAACGTTCTGAGAACGTTTGCACATTTCTGGTGTAAGGTGTGTTGTATGAGGTAGGACATGTGTAAAGTCATCGATTTTTATTCCCAACCAGGAAGTGAAATTTATATGTTCCTTTATAATTTTTAGATTGCAGAATCATATGATGCAATTAGTTTTCCATAAACATAAAGAAAAAATATGTAAATATGTGAAAAATAAAGAAGCACAGATATGCCATAAAATTGAGATACATAATGACTTTTTTAAATGTTTTAACCCACAAAAGCCATTAAATTTTATTTGCATACAATCTGTTGAACATTTTTAACAATTATTCGTCCAATTCTGAAAATGACAATCAAAATTCTCAAAATCATATGAATTCTTAATACGGCTTAAGCAAGCATACACATTCGGTCCCACCAAAATCACACACATAGAAACACACGCGCGCGCGCGCAAAACAGGAGCACACACATAATTGCATATATACAGGGTGTTCCAAAAAGGTCGGGACGCCTAAATATTTCGGGAAATATGAGTTTTACAGAAAAG